TCAATGTCGAGTATTCCCGACGACGATGTGCCCTGGTAAGACTTGAAAATAGCTGGCATTCACCCCGATTAGGAGAGGAGGCTCACCATATCAGAATAGCAGACCCTGTGAGAAGGACCTATAAAAAAAAAGATGGCATTCATCATCGGAGAAACAACCAGCTAGTTAGAATTTGATAAGGCTGCGCACGACCCCATAGAGCGACAGAATTTTTCAGTATGTCGGGAGCCTCAACAATGACTTGCGTGGAATAGCAAACGTAGAGCTCAGCGTTTCTGTCGTTCCAGGCAAATATAGCACCGCCTATGCGATCCTAGTGGCTTGTTCCACTACCCGATGGGTAATCGAGTAAATGTGCCGGCTTCCATGTTCCTATTTCGGCACGCTACTACAGACTTCTCGAGTTTCTGGGGGTCCCATCGATATGTGTTGCCGTTGCTTTCTTCAGAAATCTTGACGTATGGGAAGAAAGGTTTGTAGCGAAGATAAACGGAATCTGTAGATGAAAACCTAATTAGAAAATCGATATCCGGAGAATTTTGTGGCTGGACGAAATGAATCATTTTCTTTTGATAGAATTTTGCTTCTACTCTTCTTCTTCCTCCTTTCCTTTTTTTGGCCTGGAAACGTCTGAATCTAGTATCCGAAAAGCACTCCATAAGCACAACATCCCTCCATCCAAGTGTATCAAAACCCCGGATGTCCCCATATGCGCATGAATTAGGAGAGCTCGTTTCGGAGACTGGCGCAATTAGAATTCATTACTAATCCGGGAGGACCTATGCCCTAGTCAATCATTATTGCCCATCCACAAGTCTCATCATCGATTTATGCGCCCTAATTTATGGTCCCCTAGGACTTGAGACAACTCACACACTGATTGACGCCGAAATTTGGACGAAGGATAAAAGACAGAAAGTCGATTTTCCCATATGATGTTGCTAAATGTCAATGGATACCTGCGGGAATAGACGAAGTGAGCGCCTCCATTTGCTGCTGCTGGGACAGGCATCGTTGACGTGGTTGCCATCGGCATCACATCACCATTCATGCCTTCGGATGACATGGACGGAGACATCAGCGGTCGTCTGGAACAGCTTCACTGTTGTACAGCCATTTAACCATGAAAAAAGTAGTGCAAAGTTTTTGTAGTTTCCTCTAGAAGTCGGCAAGAGAATTGAGTAAAAAGATCTTTAATGAACATTGCCCTTTTCAAAGGACATCCCATGATTTCCTAAGCGAAGGAAGTGTGCGTGACTGACTTCAACTTTTAGGGTCGAATGGGAAGGAGTTGTCGTTCTGTCACTGTTAACAACAATACAATTTTTGCCCAATCTCTCAGAAAAAAAAGTAGTTGTTAACGAACCTGTTGCCAAGGAGAACTTGCTCCTATCAGGAGTGTTTCAAAACAGTAAGAAGTTGATGTGGTAAAAGTAACACATGATGTTTGGTCTTTCTCAAAAGGGAACACTTTTTACACCCACTACGGACCGATCAATCTTGATTGATCCTTTCTTCAGCTGCAGGTCTTTACTCTAGTTCGCTGCGGACAAAGGGGCGTGTCTGGCAGTACGAGTGCGCCACGACTAAAAACCTGTACCAGTTGTTGAAGCGGTATGCAACAGCAGTTAGTAAAAAACGAGTGATACGAACTAAATCATGCCTTCTTGTCGCTTGCTCGCTTCAGAAACTGGTGAAGATCGGGTTTGGCACCGTGCCAAACCCATTATTTTAACGCCCCTTCGTCCACATCAAACTTCAGCTCTACAACAACGTTGTCATTCAGAATTCACACGTCTTTCAGCATGGACAACCTCCAGGCATTAGCCGTACTTTCCAGGCATCGGCCGAAGATGACCATATAGAGTTTGGGAATGAGCTTATAATTACTTTTTCGCACCTCGGCATACTTGCCAGTGGGATACCCCCAGATTAATTGCTTGCACGCTGACTGGTGACCTCTCACTGCCAGGAAACGGATCATCTGTGATGTTGAGTGTGTTCCTTTCCTCAATATTTGCTTTTTTCTTGTCTTTCTAATGCACACAAGATACGAAATAACGAAGAGTAAGTTATAGATGTATACAGAATAGAAATTTCCAAAGGGGTAAGTGTATGTATATAATAGCGAATGGAGACAAATGCAAAATATTACAGAGAACACAGTAAATCATGGAAACTGATGTAATGCGTGAAAAAAACGCTATCCAGTATCGGTAAAAAGCACGCAAACTCGCCTACGAGCGAATTACCATAAAATGGCCTCTGGCAGTTCGGCGCCTTTTCTAACTCGTACTATCACTTCGATGTAAGGTCACTTTAAATGAGAGTTCTTAAGCAAAGTGCATCCCCGGGTAAGGAGCTGACACCTGTTGTTTGTTTGTCTTCCTGCAGCTCCGTGATTGTTTCGGAACATCCCACAGTGGAACGTGTTCCCTATCCAGGCACTTCTCCGGCACTACTCGCACACTACGTCCTGAATAAGCAGCAGTCACAGTCAGGAACGCCACGCTCTACCGTAGCTACCGCCGAACACCGGTCACGAGCCGACTGCAGCACCGTCATTATGCATGTATTCCACACAGTTTCAGGTTTCCCCAGCGTCATTCGGCTATGAGCCTCCGACAGATGCTTTCTACACCACCATGCAGTCTCTTACTCCTACGCTTTATATTTCCTCCACTTCATTTCAGAAAGCTTTCGAAGGAACACCTGCGCCTGCATCGTCCTCAACAACGATATTTCAGTATCCAGGCCAGACACCCTCCTTTTGTCTATGGGGCACCCCTTCCCTATCTGTTATCTAACTGCCGTCCGCCACCGTTCACCACCTAGTGCGAGTGCAGTGATTCCGGAGCTTTCTTTTCAGGTACTTCGGATGCAACGGCTCTACCTGCTGACCTAGAAGCCCCTCCCAGCCCCTAATGTGCTGTAATAAAGCAAAGTAAAAAGTATTGGCAAACATCCATATCTCTTATTCGTTATTGCAAAGCATTCCATATTTCCGTTATTGCTATGTTGTGTGAGCGCTGGCATCTGATAGGTCACACAACCAGTCAGCGTGCAAGCAATTAATCTGGGGGTATCCCACTGGCAAGTATGCCGAGGTGCGAAAAAGTAATTATAAGGTCATCCCAAACTATATGTGCACACCCATTAGGAGATCAAATCTTTTTGAGGGCAAGCGTGGGCCGCTATTGACAACCTTGGGTCCGTTTCATCTCAGAAAATATTAAGATAGAGACATTGAAGACAAACCCCGCGATTGCGTGCTGTGTACAGTGACGTTCAATTACGAACCTATGGTCGCTAAGAGAAGTGACTCTCAAGGGAAGAAGAAAACCAAAAAAAGATCATGGAGAAAACCCTCTCAGGACGAGTTTCTGAATCTGATAGTGTTATGCCAGCAAAGCGATATCCTGCCGCCTCTGGACCACATCTTTTCTTCGCCTTTCCACATGGCTGTATGTGACCACATAACACGGAAGATTAGAAAAAAAAATACGGTGTGAAAACTATACTCGTACAGACAATAGCATTTGGGTTATAGCTGGTGAGAAAGGGAGGCGACAGAACTGCCCAGTATGTGGGCCGCAGCCCCTTTGTTACTTACCGTAAAGCCGCAGAAGTGGGATACTCTCAGATACTGAGCATTAGGCAAAATCCACAACGAATCTTCCCATCTTGATGGAGGTGAGAAGAACTCCCCTCGGAGCGTTTTCTGCAGTTCCCACTGATATTTCCCCGCTGGGCACATATGCGCACATATGTAATGCATATTTCTATTTGGCCCCTGCTATCAGCGAACTTTTCGACATCCTGCCGCGAACTTTTTGCGGAAGCTGGCGTATTGTTGTCCCATTTTTTGGTTATTTTTTCGGGTATTCCATTTGTCACTCTCAAAAACAGGGACTCCAATTATGATACGAAACGATATCTGTAGTAATACTCAAAGCCGAGACATGCTGTTACACTGGTGTACTCACATTGGAGCCTTTTCAGCGGAGTTAACCGATGGGGCCACGAAATCGACGAGGACATTGTTTTAGATTTTTTATTGATCGCTGATCACCTAGGAAAAGAAGCCTACAGTAATCGAAGAAAACTAAAAAACGTCAGCAAGTTTGATACGATATTCTCTTCTCTTATACTCGTGTACCAGAGTAGAGCGCTAATTAAATAAAGCGGAGTGTTCGTTGCTAGGATGTAAAGGCATTATTGCATCAGGCCATTTGAAGGTTTGATAGGCAATAAAAGGGGTAATTTTTCTTATTTCAAATAAATTACATAATAACAAACAATCCCTTCCCTCGATAAGGGCCCCCAGGAACAGACATCACTTCCGTCTCCTTCCACGTATGATAGGAATCGAAGTTTAGAAGCGCTGATAAACTTCTCTATGGAATGCGCCACGCCTAATCTTTCTTCGTCTTCAGAACCGCATCTACGTAGAATGACGGATTCATGGAATAAGGTCTTAATGTGGACCAAAAAACAGCCTAGGCCAGCTAATGGATCCCTTGTCGTGTTTAGAAACACGTGAACTGTTGCTATGTTGCCCATTTACGGAATTAATTTGGAATGAATGTCTAACTCGACAGAGAAGGCGCTACCCATAGCGGGTTACAAGCGCGAAGGCAGTGCTTCATCCGTTTCATGCGTTGGCACTGCTCTGTTCACTATCGACGCCTGCACATGCGACCCCCTCTACCTACCATTAAGTCATATGCGACCCCCTTATCGCTTATCGCTTCCGCAACGCAGTCTCGAACTTGATGCCCCATGCGGTTTCGGCATTGACTTTGTCGAAGGCAATGGGAGACTGAAACAGCAATGAGCCTTCAGAAGTGGTGGCTCACTACTACTTCAAACTCCCTATTGCCTTGTACTTGCCACCTATGCTTTCTCAAAGACAAGGCCACCCCGATGATTTGAACGATGCTTACAAATCATAGGATTGGGATGAGAAATGTGAAGGTGCTAATAACCAAAGAGTGAAGAAAAATGAAGCATAAACCCGTTAATTGAGACCCTTTTGTTTTCAAGCATTGTACAAGCATTTTGGATTAGGTAAATCCTAATAAATAATAGATTTTGGTTTTTTCTAGCTATCGATCTACAGTTCATGCAGTCCAAGTTGCTGGGAAAAGCGAGCGTGGGATGAAAAAAACCTCGTGCTTGGTAGATCTATAACATAAGCAACTTTCTATATAGCGGCATCAAAAAGATTGAAGAAGGAAGAAGAGGATGATGTTCACCAGCCTTTTATGGAGGCACCTGGTCAGCATTCGGTGAGGAACGTGAAAGTCTGAATGCTTGCTATACAGCATCTTTTCCTAAGTGAGGATGTTTAGGTCAATGCTTGTGAAGCTCCCAGACAAGTTCTTCTCTACAACACCATCCCAACTATTCAAAACAAACGAAAAAAAGCTTTTTCCTCGAT